GCAATTCCAAGCCTAAAGGAACTGCTCTCTGCAAGGTGGAGTATTTGGCAGAGCCCTGGGGGTGGCAGTGGACTGAGCACAGGTAGCTGGAGAACAAGAAATGCCAGATGACTGCGTGCATTGCTTAGAAAGTGGGAAAAGAGAAGAAAAAAAAAAAAGAAAATAAAAAAAAAGCAAGGTTTGCTCAGGATCTCTCTGTGAAGGAAAGGGCAGGCATTGCAAGAATTCAGAAACAACATCCTTAGGTGGAGATGGGCCAGTAGTGGAAGGGGCTGAGCACGTAAACAGGCTGAGGAGCAGGAAGCTGTCAGGAGCGTGTGAAAGCTCTGGAGAGGCTGCTGAGATTTTGAGATTTCACATGCCTGCACACGGGGAACGGACCCAACCGGGCCACCCGGATTCCTGCAGGGTTCAAACCCTCTGCTGCTGCTCTGGGCAGAGCTGGGGGTGGGTCCTGGTCGTGCAGGGATGGTGTCAGGCTGGGAACAGCACTGGAGATCAGGTGCAGGCTCAGGCTCACAGCCTGCACATTTCTGAGTGTCACCACTCCCCATCAGCTCAGCAGTGGGGAGGCAGGAATTCCTGCACATCCACAGGTGGGTTTGCTACAGGCATCCCTCCTGCCTGCACCACCTGGAGATGAAGCTGCTGGAGGCACCTGAGCTTGGGGTTTGAGCCCCTGTAGCACAGGCAGATGCTACAGCAGGACCTCACCTCCATGGAGCATCACCTGTGAGGATAAAACCATAAAACCCCACTCACCCCATCCCTGGCTCTGCAGAGCTTCAGGGGGCTCTGGGAGGAGTTTAAAGGTGGAATTTAAAAGGTGTTTTTTGCCTCGTTTGCTGCATCTCTTGTACACACTGGCTCTTCTAATACCCAGGGAGCAACATAAAAGCATCTCTAAGGAGCTTATTTCAAAATTTAAGAGCAGCAAAGAATGGCAGAAAACACTGTTTTGAAGGATTTAATCAATTAATCTTTGAGAAAGATGTAATAGGGTCACTTCAGAGTGTTATGGAAACAGAACCACACATTGTCCCCACTACAAGCCTGTTTAGTCCCAATCCCAGTGTATTTATCACCTCATTTGGGAAAACAGGACAAAACCTTCTGAGAAGGCAAAGTCAGCTAAACTCAGCTAAATTCTGGCCAGCACAAGAAAAATTGCATGAACAGCTCCTGATTTATGTCAGTATTAAAGATGCTCAGGGCTTCCTGAGTCCTAATGGGAAGAAAAAAATCTCTTTTAAAGAGATGTTGGCATCAGGGACAGATGGGGGTTTACACCTGCCTGCCCACCAAACCCTGTGAGTGCCAAGAGGAGCAGGAAAAAACAAGGAGCAGGCAGAGATTTGAGCCAGACCTCTGGGAATTGACCCCAGAGTGAAATCCCCAGGGCCCTGCCTCCACTTGTGCTTTTACCTCTGGTGTGGTGGGGCCTTGGGACACAGCAAAGGGGCCACCCAGAGCAGCATCACAGATAAAGGGGCAAAATTTAGGGTGCCTAAGCCCCAATAGCACCTCTGTGCTCTCACAGAGTGATAAAACCCCCAGGGGGATGGGGCACAGCACAGCCAGAGGGATCCTCACTGGCTGTGAATTACCTCCCCCAGTCCCAAAAAGCATCCCTGAACTCGTGCTGGTGGGTTTAGACCTTTTAGGAGTGCAGATGGGGAGAGAAAATACACGGTTTATAGGGAAAACAATAACCAAAGTGCTACCCCAGCCTCGCTGCAAATGCTGAGAGCAGATATTTCCAGACACCAGCATGAATGATCACCCTCCTCACAGGCCTTTAGAGCGACTCCCTGGAATTAAATCAGTATATTGCACGGTTCCAGTTCCTTTCATCCAGGAATCTTCGAGTGATTTACAAACAATCCTTTAATTAAGCCTCCCAAACAGCCCCCGGGGTTGTTTTACTGTGTCCGTGTGGGGAATCGAAGGATTTGCACGGCTAAAATGGCAAAAAGTTTGCAAAAGTCTTATCCAAGTTCCTCCGAGACAAAATATCTCAGAAGAGCCTCTCTGCTTTGATGCTGATTCTAAAACCCTCCGGTTAAACATTTTTTTTTTCTCCTCCTGGGGACATGGCCCCAGTTGCCTCCTCCTGCCCTGTCAGGATTAGTATTCCATGGATAAAATGTTTGTTTTTTAAACGCACACCTCTGACAGCTCATCCACAAACACGAACTCCCAGTACTAGGGAACTCTCAGTACTGGGGAGGGAGCCTGGGAATTCAGCTTTGGGGGTGAAAAGCGGTGTTTTGGCAACAAGGGTTTCAAACCCATCAATCTGTGGTTTGCTTTGAGCCCGGTGCTTGATCTCCGCTAAAAACCCTTCCTGCCCTTTCTTGCCCCCAGGACAGGTTTGAGCTGTGGCTCTTTTGAATCCCCTGAGAATAAAAAGTGTTTTTTGTCTCTTCCTGATGTAATTTTGCTATCAGACCACCAGTGGGAATACAAGATGCAATGTGGAGAAAATAAAATAAAATATCCCATGAAGATGCTGTCATGGGTAACTCTGAGCCCCTCTCTGGCTGGTGGAATTTAAAGATGGGGTTTTTTTGCTTAATGCTCTGTTTGCTGCATCTCTTGTACACACTGGCTGTGCCTTGTCTAAAGCTGATTTTCTTCTGATTTAAGCAAGGATATAAAGAGGAATCTCTGCAAAATGAGGGGATTGGGATGTACAAGCCTGGAAGTCAGTATTCCTAAGGAAACTGCTGTACCCCAGAGAGCTGCTTTTAAAAACTTCATCAGCCTTGGGCTGGTTCTGCTGTGCCCCACACACAGGAGTTGTCACCTTCCAAAACCCAGCTCTGAAATCCCCAACTCTCATTTCACATCCAGTTTAAACACAGCAAATCATGCAGGCTCCATCCCAATCGTTATTTCCTAAGATACCCAAAATACTACAGCATCACTTACAAACTCAACTTCTTCCCATTTAAAGAGGAAGGGGAAAAAAAAAATGAATTTTAGGCTTTGAGGAACTCAGATGACCACAGCAGATTCCAGTTTTGGAGTTAAGCACTGCTGGGACTCTGAGCCCAAACACTCAGTAAATAGGGATGCCTATCTTGGTCCCTAAGGAAGAAACTCCTGGCTCCAATACTCAGGGAGCAACATAAAAGCATCTCTAAGGAGCTTATTTCAAAATTTAAGAGCAGCAAAGAATGGCAGAAAACACTGTTTTGAAGGATTTAATCAATTAATCTTTGAGAAAGATGTAATAGGGTCACTTCAGAGTGTTATGGAAACAGAACCACACATTGTCCCCACTACAAGCCTGTTTAGTCCCAATCCCAGTGTATTTATCACCTCATTTGGGAAAACAGGACAAAACCTTCTGAGAAGGCAAAGTCAGCTAAACTCAGCTAAATTCTGGCCAGCACAAGAAAAATTGCATGAACAGCTCCTGATTTATGTCAGTATTAAAGATGCTCAGGGCTTCCTGAGTCCTAATGGGAAGAAAAAAATTATTTTAAAGCCCATGTTGGCATCAGGGACAGATGGGGGTTTACACCTGCCTGCCCACCAAACCCTGTGAGTGCCAAGAGGAGCAGGAAAAAACAAGGAGCAGGCAGAGATTTGAGCCAGACCTCTGGGAATTGACCCCAGAGTGAAATCCCCAGGGCCCTGCCTCCACTTGTGCTTTTACCTCCGGAGCATCCCCCAGCTTTTGTTACCTTGAATAAAAGCACATTCAGCTCTGCAGAAGCTCTTCTGGGAGCTGTTGAGTTGGAGCAGGATTTTATTCTAATTTCATTTAACTATTTTATTTTATTATTTTTTATTCTATTGTTTTATTATTTTATTTTATTTTATTTTATTTTATTTTATTTTAATTTTTTATTTTATTTTCTCGCCTTCCTTGATTACAAGAAAGAAATGCCCCACTCCTCACTACCTTTACTCACTCTGGAAAGCATCAGTGCCTTTCCTTTCCCTGCTACTTTCCCATGTGGTTTATGGCCACCTCTCCAACAAAACACCCCACCAGAGAGCCACAACTCCATCACTCCATCACCCCGAGCCTCACCCTGAACCCCAACACTACCGCAGAACCCCAGGAGCTCCCAAACTCCCAAGAATCTCCAGTTTCACCTTTTCCCATCTCCACCGTCGACTTCCATTCCCAAACCTCCCCAAGAATCTCCAGTTCTACATTTTCCCGTCTCCACCATCGACTTCCACTCCCAAACCTCCCCAAGAATCTCCAGTTCTACATTTTCCCATCTCCACCATCGACTTCCATTCCCAAACCTCCCCAAGAATCTCCAGTTCTACATTTTCCCGTCTCCACCATCGACTTCCACTCCAAAACCTCCCCAAGAATCTCCAGTTCTACATTTTCCCATCTCTACCATCGACTTTCACTCCCGAACCTCCCCAAGAATCTCCAGTTCTACATTTTTCCATCTCCACCATCGACTTCCACTCCCGAACCTCCCCAAGAATCTCCAGTTCCACCTTTTCCCAACTCCACCACCAACTTCCACCCGGGAATCGCTGTCTCCCGCAGCATTCCCCACTCCTCTCCCGCGCCATCTCTGGCTCACGTTCCGCGGGTGCAGCACCTGGACCACTGCAAGAACAGCCCAAATTCCCCACCCCGGCTCCACGGGACCCCCAAAAACGGGGTGAGAAGCTCGGCGCTCGGCACATCGCCCTCCGCAGAGCCCGAACCCCCGAGCGGGGCTCGGGCAGCGGGATGCGGGAGGGCAGAGCCGGAGGCTCGGGCTCATCGCTCCGCAGCACCAAGCGGCACTGCGGCTCCGAGACCCGAGCTGCGCTGCCGCGGAGGGCTGGATGCGCCCGGGCTGATAAGATCCGCGATAAAGCCGCCTTCGGGCTCCGGGTGGGCGCCCGGCGTCCCCCAGCCGCTTTTCCCACAAACTCGCCAATAGTAAGGGGAAAAGCGGAGCGCGGCCAGAAGGCGAGGGATGCTTGAAGCGGGGCACAAGGCACGGGAAGCGGAGGGCGGCACTCACCGAGCAGCAGCAGCAGCGGCAGCAGCCCCGCAGCCCGCATGGTGCCTCGGCGCGGCCGTCCCGGCGCGGCTCCCGGCGCTCTCTCCCGGCGGGGCGGGCGGGCGATGCCCTCCCTCCCCCGGCCCCGGCCCCGGGCACGGCCCCGGCCACGGGCTCCCCCTTCTCCCGCCGCCGGGGGAGGCGCAGGACGGCCCCGGACCGCCCCCGCCTCCGCCCCCGGCGCGGGGGGAGAGAGCGCCGGGATGGGGATGGGGATAGATGGGGATGGGGATGGGGATGGGGATGGGGATGGGTGGGGATGGATAGGAATGGGGATGGATGGGGAAGGGTGGGGATGGGGATGGGATGGAGTGGGCAGCAAGGAGCAGGGGATGCGCCTGTGGAAGGGATGGGGGAGACTTCATTGGGATGGGAGGTCTGGGGGAGATTTGGGCTCCTCAACTTCATGGAGGAATATGGGGGGTTTCCTTGGAGGTGGGAGGTTGGAGAGGGTTTAAGGGAGGTTGGAGAGGGTTTAAGGGGTTTGTTGGGATGGGGATCTGGGGGAGATTGGACTTAGCTTCATGGAGGAATTTGTGGGGTTTCATTGGATTTGAGATGTTGGAGAGGGTTTAAAGGGTCATTAGCATGGAGATATGAGAGGGGGGTTGGGATTCTCAGCTTCATGAAAGGATTTGCGTGTTTTGTTGGAGATGGGAGGTTGGAAAGAATTTAGAGGTTTCATTGGAATTGGGAGGTGGGAGAGGGCTTGGGGTTCTTTAAGATAGGTGTATGGGGGATTTGGGATTCTCAGTTGCAGGAAGGAATTTGAGAGTTTTGTTGGGGTTGGAAGTTTGGAGAAGGTTTAGGGGGTTTTATTGGTATTTGGGGTTCTCAACTGCAGGGAGGAATTTGGGGGTTTTGTTTGAGTTGGGTGGTTGGAAAGAGGTTTAGGGGTTTAGTTGGAGAGGGGCTTTAGGGGGATTTGGGTGTTTCTTTGGAGTTAGGAGGTTAGACAGGGTTTAGGGGTTTTGCTTGGATTGGGATTTAGTGTTGTCAACTGAATGGAGAAGGAGAATTTCACTGGGACAGGGATGTGGGGTTGGGATTTGGGGTTCTCAACTGCATGGGGGTATTCAGGGGTTTTGTTAGAGTTGGAGGGATGGGGAGGATTTTGGGTTTCACTGAGGTGGAGATTTGTGGAAATCTGGGGATGGGATTTGGGATTCTCAACTACATGGGAAGATTTGGGTGTTACATTTGATTTAGGAGTGGATTTGGGATTTCCTTTGGGATGGGGTCTTGGGGGGTGGTGGGATTCCTGCCTGCATGGAGGGAAATATTCACCAGGATGAAGACTTTGGAAAGATTTGAGTTTTTTATTTGAGGGGAGATTTGTCATTCCCATCTCTGTGGGGGAGTTTGGGTTTTCATTGGATTTGGGATGTTGGGGAGGATTTGGGGTTTTTATTGGAATGAGAGGAGTGAGGATGATTTGGCATTTCAACCTACACAGGAATGATTTGGGGGGTTTCACTGAAGCCAAGGGTGGACTTGGGGATTTCATTATGGTGAAAACTTGTGGGAGATTGGGAGTTTTAATCTGGATGGTGGTTTGTAAATTTATTTTTGGATTCCCACCCACATGAACCAGGGTTTAGGATTTTTGTTTGGATGCTGACTTGGGGATCTCTTTGGTATTCCTACCTGCATGGCAAAAATGTGTGGGTTATATCAGGATGAGCATATGGGGGTGGATTTGGGATTTTCATCTGGATGGGGATTTGGGGTTTGATTTCAGATTCACATCCAGGTGTGCGTTACTTGAGGATTTTCAACCATATTAGGTTTGTTTGGGGATTCTCAGCAGGGCTGGGGGTTTATTTGGAGTTTTCATCTGGAGGTGGGATTAATTTGGGGTCACCTTCTGCACACAAACACTGACCCCTCCTCTTCCCCCCAGAGAATGTACATTTTCACAGGATGTTTTCTGGGAAAGATCTCCACTTGTTTGAGAATCTCTCAAAGGAAGCCGTGCACCCAAAGCATGAAGGACAAAATTATGATCAATTCTTGGCATTATTTTGTGTTGAGGCATTGAAAATTGTTCTGTGGTGTTCAGGCAAGGAGTGTTCACTGCAGCTGGGAGGAGACTGAAAATAAGCTCAGGGCTTTGCACTGAATCCTCCTCTTGGCTCTGCTGGATCCAGCTAAACAGGGACCTTCCCAGCCTGGACCCAGAGGTGGCAAAGACAACCTTCACTCCAAAAAGGACTTTTCAAACACGGTTCTCTTGATCCCTTCAGTTAAAGGTGGAGATTATTCTTGTTGCAAGGTTATCTTCAGAAGAGGAAGACCTGCTTGGGTTTGCTGGCTCAGTCCTCCCTGCTTTGCATGTTGTCCCCAGAAAAAGTTTCTTGTCCTGATTTAACTTCTGGGTCAGTTAATAAAAAATTTTAATACAGAAAAGATAAAAGAAATTTAAAAAAAAATATATCTTCACAAACTCAAAAAATAATAATAATCTACAACTTTAAAAAAATCTTAAACAAAAATTTTAAAAAATCTAAATTAATATAAAAGCAAAACACACAAAAATGAAAAACAAAAAACTTATATTTATGATTATGAGAGGCTTTCCAGGTGCCTCAGCCCAGCCTCACCTCTTTTTGCTACAACTGTGCACTACACAGCACCCAAAACTGAAACTCGAGTTACAATAAATGAATGAAAGTGTTGGTACACATTATTAATCCTTCCAGTATCAGACAGGCAGTTCCTTCTCCCCCTGAGGAGTATTTTTAACAACAGATCCCATTCACATACACACACACTCTCCCAATTTTTGGTGTTAACTACCAAGCCAAGACAGCCCGGGGAAAAACCTGGGCTGGTTCAGTAGAACAGATTCTGGGACAGAGAGGAGGGAGGTGATGCTGAGCTCCTCAAACTCTCTGTTTATGGCACCAGTGCCCATAAAACACTGCAAAAATATCCTGTGGCTCATTGCCTGGGAGATGGGGTTTCCCCAAGTGTGTTGGGTCTCCTCTCTAACTGTGGGAATAACAGATAAGAACAGAGCTCCCTTGGCAGCAACCTAAGGAAAACAGAACAGAACAGTCTGAAATCACTTAAAAGTGAGGCTGGATTTGGTTTCATTGTGTGATGTTTGTAGCTAATGAGAGTTAGGAGAAGAATTCTGTCTGGTTGGTCCCATCAGCAGATCTGGGCTGTGCTGGTCCTTTGGCCTTGGGCAAAGAGGATGGAGCCTCATCCCTTGAACATCTAAGTCCTTCTAGATTGCTGGTTTGGGATGTAGGTTTTCTCTTAATGATCACAGAAGGCACCCTGACACTCACACAGGGAGTTTTGTGAGTTCTCAGCAGACTTGTTGGACCTAACTCTCTTTTGTTCCCTCAAACCTTGGCTGCTGGCAATTACCACGGTGCCTGAAACAACAGCACGGCCTCCACTTCTTGGGAAAAGGGATTCATCCAGAAACATGGAGCTGAGCCTCCTCTTGCAGGAGGGCAGCAGGAAGGTCTCCCATTATTCCTGCTGCTTTTCAGGGTACAGGTACCTTCCCACTTGTGCCAGCTCCAAATCTGCCTCTGCTGGAAAGGGGATAATTACTGAGGGTTTCAGATCAAGGCTATGAATCACGAGCAGCTGATGGCAAAAAAAAAGGGGATATTTAGCATGACTGCTTCAAAAGCTGGGTGTCTGATAAAGTACATCCCAACCATCAGCTGGGGGAAAGGTCAGGAAAAAACCCTAATTTGGGAAACTGGGCACTTTCTGGGGGTGTCAAAAAGGCATTGCTGTTTGCCAGAAAGATGGAAACAGCCCTTGACACCCCAAGACATGCAGCATTGCTAACTAGGAGCTTTTTCACCAGTAGCCCAGCTCTGGAGGTTTTCCTAAATACCAAAATCACAGGGCCAGGAAATTATGTAGAGGATTTTGCTTTCAACTCCAAACATGAATGTCTTCATGAGGTGAAGGGAAACCCTTTGGAGAATGGCCCACACATCTGTCTGAGAAGTGGGAGCCAAAAATAAGAATTTACTATAAAATGTATTATTGACATTATGATTATTTAAAATCTCACGGGCTTAAGTGATTCAAGTGTTTTTTAATTCTGACATTGATGTGGCCGCACACAGGTTCACATTTACCTGGGTCTGTGTGTTCCAGCCAAATATTTATGTAAGGCTCTGAAAGAAGAGCACAGGGAGTCAGTGGTTTCAAGGTATGCAAGTCAGCTGGGCTGAAACCCTCTCAGGAGGAGGAAGACTCCACATGACACAAGATTTCCTTGCTGGGGAAATCTCAAAATGTTTTCGTGATTCCCCAAAGGGTACAAAGACCCCATTTCTTCTGCAGTTTAGAAGTAAAGTGGACAAAGGAGAGGAAAACATAAAAAGGAGAGGAAAACATAAAAAGGAGAGGAAAACATAAAGTAGGAGTTGTTCTTGTGATTCACAGTGCTGGGATTAATTCCCCAAGACAGTTTTATCTTTTCTGCACCTTGTAATTCCTTCTTGGTTGCGTTCAGATTTGTCACCACGTCTGACTGACGTCTCCAGGCAGCCTGGCAATATTTACCCTGGCAATATTTACCTCTTCTCACAGAAAATGACCGAGGGAAGCCTGCACAGCTTGAAAATCCTTGGGCTAGGATCCAGTTTGGGATCATTTAACTTGCCAGTAATCCGATTCGACTGAATGTCGTCACTTCTCTCCTTGTGGGACTGGGCACGAAGTAATAACGTTTGGAATTCAGATTTGGGGTTGAGATGGGGAAGAGGAAGGGCTGATACCTCTGATGTGAGCAACAGCGTGAGCAACAGCCTGTGGACTCCTGGGCTGAAGATCACCTGAGGCTATAAAGCTACCAAAGCCAAACTACCCTCCTTTCATCAAGAGACAAAAATACCTGTTTGTGTTTGTATTTCAGAAGTTGGGGAGTCAGAAGTGTCACATGGGAATCTGTTCCTCAGCCTGGACCTGACCCAGAAGAAGGAAACAAAATGCAGCTTGCCTCAGGAGCAGGAATTGTGTGAAGGAAGCCAAGAACAGCCCAGGATACTGCTCACAATGCCAGCTGTCTTTTCCTGAACTTCTGTGAGTGAAGAGGCAAAAATCCTATTGGTATTAGGCAAAGATTTGTAAAATCCAGGTTCAGCCCTC